TTTAATAAATTAATCATTAATTTGTGAAGTGTGGAATAAATTTGTTTCATACATATTTCATTATGATAAGATTAAAGGTGATGATTTTAATCAAAAAAACTTTTAATGAAATTTTTCAAAATTTTGAAATAAATAAAAATGTTTATTCATCATATAGGTTGCAACATATTTATGCATGGCGCAAAAGTCGCATAGAAATGAACGCTAATTTAGCTTTGGCTTATTTTTTTGTTTTTGTTTTTTCACTATTACTAAATCTTCTTTTGAGTACCAATAAAAGATAAATATGTTAAAAGGACTTTCTCAATATGACTTAAATTTTTTTTTTTTCAAATAATGTTATACAGAAATGATTCGGTTAGTGCAGAAAGGAATGCTGGATATGAAATTCAAAATATTCAAGACAATTCAAGACATTTTCCAGTAATCGAGAAAATTTGGAATTTATTGGAAATGAAATTATAATATCAAAAATTCGAAACTCTTAAACATGAAATTCAAGACAAATCCCGTCTTCCAGTAATTGAAAAAATTCGGAATTTATTAGAAATGAAATCGTAATGTTAAAAATTTGATAGTTTCCTTCGTTCATGAAATGCGCCAGCATTAACAAAATGGAACAATTAATCAAAAAAAAACTATACGGTAATTTTAGATTTAAATAATTTAATATTTAAAAACTACATATAAAAAAGAAAAAGTTTAGCATTTCAAAGTTAAAATCCATAAGCTAAAGAATAAAATTATGAAAAATTCCAAAATATAAATATTTTCATAAAATTTAAATATTCTTAGCAAAAAAAAAAAATGTGACAGATGAATGTCACCCTGCTAGTTAATCTTCTTTTTGACTTCATTTTTAACTCATTCCCTAAAGTATGGGCATCAATCTAATATTGCCTTCTGCCTTTCTTGCTTTAACGTTATTTGAGATAATTAAAAAAAAAAAAAACAGAAAAAAAGAAAGAAAAGGAAAGCTTCTGTATTTATTTATAGAAATGATAAATGTTTTCAAGATGAAATAAGAAATGAATTGGTGGAAAAACGGTTCCGGTTTAGCCGGCAACTCCAGTCGTTAAAATCTTCCGGAAGTTGTTTTCTGCAAGTTTTAATTTTCTTCTGCTCAAAAAATTTATTGTTTTTCCATTTCTGAGCTGTCAGGAAGCGTAAAAAAAAACAAAAAAGAAAAATACAAAAAAGGATTTCATTCCGTACATTGAAAAAGGTATACGGTACAAATTGAATATGAATAATTATTAAAATTGCACTAATTATTATTAAGTTTACAATATGAAATTAAGGCTTCCTCAAATGATATGAAGGATTTAACTGTAAAAGGTAGCGTCCGAATTTCAATGAAATGGTGGAATTTTTCGGAAAAACAAATTAAAACCAAATGATTCTTAACTGATGAATTAAATAAACAAAAAATCATTTAAGTTTTCAAATATGTTATTTTAAGTTATTTATTTGAGTTATTTTTTTTTCAAGAAAAAAAATAACAAAGAGTTTCAACAATTATTTGCATGTTCAACTTTGTTTACACTTTTAAAATCGATCAATTTTTTCTAATTTTAAATTGAACTGATATCACATTCCGATTTGAACATCTGAAATCCTTCTTGAAAGAATCCTGAAAGAATGTATTTACGTAGCATTGACGTCACGTGAAATCTTTAAGGTTATTCATTAGCGACATTTTTTTTTTTTGTCTCTACCACAATTTCTTTGCTAACTTATGGTCGCATGCTTTTTCAATTTCTTGCAAATATTGATGTCGATGACTGACTGATTGATTGGCTGACTGATAAGTTGATAATGAAAGAAACATGCGACTGTTAAGTTGGAAAAATAAATCAATAATTTATTTTTGACTTATCAAATTATCGTTACATTATGGAAATATAATTATATTTATGCATAATTGCCATATCATTAACATTGGCATATCATTTCCGATTAGCATATCATTAATACATCGTCGTTGCTGATAACTGATAATTGTTACATCTAAATTGAAAGAACAAATACATTCACTTAAGTTAAAAATAAATCATATCAATTAATTAAAGTAATTGGATCAAATTTCGTAAATAGTTTTTACATGCTTAAAAATAAGAACAATTTTTTTCTTCTCTTTTTCAACCCTAAAATTACTTGCAATAAATAATTAGTTAATGAGTAGGAAAATGAAATGATAAATAATGATTTTTGTTTGGCTCAAATTAATTAATAATAATCAAATATTTGCTAAAATTTCTCCCACAAATATACTGTAAATTTCCTAATTTTGACATAACAGAAATTGATAATATTGTGATAAATTAAAATTGATGATGATAATATTGTGATAAATTAAAATTGATGAAGATAATATTGTGATAAATTAAAATTGATGATGATAATATTGTGATAAATCAAAATTGATGATGATAATATTGTGATAAATTAAAATTGATTTGATTAAAATTGATAATAGTATGATAAAAACTTAGACAAGTTGTGTAAAAATTTTTGAAAAAAAAAGCAAAACATTTGAATTTGCTTTAACAAAATACTTTCCTTCACGCCTATTACCATTCACTTATATGTAAATACCTATTTGAAGTGCTAATTGTGACAATGATTTGAATGGCTAGTAGCCATCGAAAGATAAATGATGCGGGGTATGTCATATCTGGAGCATAAGGTTTTGTACCGTTAACCAAACAGAATATCTCATGATGGGTCATCCCAAGTAACGTAATTCCACCACTTGTTTTTTCTTTTTTTTTTTCCTTAACAAGAATAAATCTCTTGCATAAAAATTTCGAAATGATAGAATATAGTGATTCCTCATTGATAATGTACAAGAACTAAAATATGATCCGTCAGGATGGCGGTGTAGTAAGTCAAAAAGTGAGGCGTTGATAATTCTTATCAATGTTATCAAAAATTAATGCGTTAAAAATTTTTGATTAAAAAGTTTATTTGCAAACTAAAAGAATTTATTAGCTTTGAATTTTTTTTAATCTCTATTACAAATAAATTTTTAAGCCTTATGATCTTTGCTACAAAACAAAAAAGCCAAAATGGCCACTGGTCAGGAAAAGATTGGAAACTATTACGAGTAGAAGAATAGATTAATGGCTTGAATTCTAGATGTTTTTGTATCTACTTATTGTCTTATGTGACATATGTGCTAATTGATGTCATCTAACTGATAAATCCTCTTGCTCATTTCCATTTCTTAGTTAATTAAATTTATTTTTTAATTTATTTACATAAAAATACTCTTTTAGTCAGAAACGTTTGTATTTGTATGAATGGATTTATGTATGAATTAATTATTTGAAAAAAAAGTTTTGTTTTGCGAATTAGCTAGAACAGAATTTAGTTACGCTACGATTAATTGCTACTTCAACAATTCACACTAAACTTTAGTGATATATTATCAGTTTTGATAAGAATAGTAGAAAAGTTGTCTCTATTCCATCATTTTCTTATCAGCTTACAACTGATAAAAAA